AGTATTTAATTGCTTCATGATCCTTTACTGTTGCTAYGATCACTATCTGTCTCAATATCAATGATTGGGGACCAAAATAATGGCAAATTGCTGGAACTTTCATCAGCATTGGAGCTTTGGCATATCCATGGTCTGTACCTTGAGCCAGCGAAAAACGCTCCGTTACGTAGTTGTTGTAACTTGCCACAACATCAGGCCATTCTGGACTCCAAGGAAATATTGAAGGATCAGAATAAAATTCTGTCTACCAGCCACCTTCGTCTTCTGATACGAACAGTTATTGGACACACAACCAGGAACATAACAGTTAACATTTACAGTTTGATAAAAAACTAGCAAAAACGTGAAAAAATGGAGTACGAGAGACTACTAAAACCAAAACGTTATACAAGACACTCCGCCATTTTGTTTGTTTACCCCAAGCGTATCCAATAATTCCTTCCACAAGACTTTCGTGACGTAAACGTTTCAGAGGGCTATTCATTTACGAATCCCACTTCCCCATAGTTATGACGTGTAAAAGTGTAAATTGGTATCACCGAGATGATTTTGAGAAAAATCCTTGGATTTACAGGGCCGTAGCCACAAATTTCTGATTGTTCCGGCTTTCGAGGGTTTTTAGTTTTTCTAATATTTTTTCTTTTTTTTTTTTCCCGAAAGTTGGTTCGGTTGAAACCGGACCAACCGTACCGGTGGCTACGGCCCTGATTTAACCCGAGAGCCTAGGAAAGATCAGTAACCAGTAAACTATGTGAACCATTCCAAGGCTTGATTGACACAAACGTTGTTTAATAAGTCTTTACTAATTTTAAATTGTTTGCAGCTCAACGCCTACCTATCTTTGATAATAGAGGTTTTGCACCACAACGTGACGCCAGCCATGTTAGATGGCAGTAACAATACAGTCGTTTTACATAAGAAAGAATTCAATTCCCAAGAGTAAAGGAATCTAATTGTTCTGCCATATAACCACAGGAAGCCTAAACAGTATTACGGGATGGGCCCGTGATGGTGCAAAACCTCTATTTATGTTCTCGTCGTCCTTCCGCACTAATGACTTTAATTTCACAGGCTTCAAGATGAACATACCAAAGCCTTTTTCCTAGTCATGGCAACATCTCGTTGGCTTGGACTATACTTAGATTTACTGTGTGCCTTTTTCTTGGTGGGGGTAGCCATCGTAGGACTGGTTGCCATTCAAGATCACGGTAATTAAGCAAATATTAGCTCCTGCAAATGATTGATTAGTGCAAATAGATCTGACAGAATGGGGGCAAAATAGTTTTATTTCGAACGTTTTTATTCTCGGGTTTGGCTGGAATGTTGCTGTCACTTTCTATCAATCTCTTCGGTACTACCCAATACGGTATACGCCTAGCTACTGATGTCGAGAGTCAAATGACGTCGGTCGAACGAGTGATGAGGTATACTGAGCTACCTTCTGAACCTGGGTACACCAGACAAGACAAATCATCAGATGACTGGCCCAGTCAAGGTTCTTTGTCTATACGAGACTTGTCTATGGTGTATTTAGAAGGTGGACCCTCAGTACTAAAGGAAATCAACCTCGATGTTCAACCCAAAGAGAAGATTGGTATCGTAGGTCGCACTGGAGCAGGCAAGTCATCTCTTGTAGCTGCTCTCTTTCGGATGCCCGATCCTCA